AGCAAGAAAGCAAGCAAGCAGGACCTAAGTACCTAACTTATGATTGCAGAATAATTGGAAGCAAGCAGGACCTAAGGACCTAAGTACCAAAAGCAAGCAAGCAAGCAACCGGCTTTGTTATGATTTTTACTCTGATGGTTTTCATGCCGCAAGCAACCGTGCAAGCAAGCAAGTGTAGGCATGCCTCGCGTCGACGTGCCAAAAGCAAGTTTTCAGGACCTAAGTACTAAAAGCAAGCAACCGTGCAAGCAAGCAAGCCGCAAGTTTTGAAGAACAGGAGAGAACCTGATTCGGGTGATTGGATTCCTATAATCCTATCTAATCTAGATCTAGCATATGCATCTCAATAACCAAAGAACAGGGAACAAGAACATGGGAGAAGAAATTACCTAGTGTTGGCGCACTGCCATCATCGAGACTTTGAAAGGTTTCGCTTGGCTCAGTCATCACGATGTGCAGCAGCCGCCGCCGCCCCAGCCTGCCGCCGTCGCCCTGGCCCCCGACGTCGCCCAGGCTACGCCCGTCGCCCAGCGGCCGCCGTCACCAGGAGGTCGGGTCGAGTGGTTTGGTGAGGAACGACTAGGGTTCCAGGCTTCCAGCACTTGGCTCATGTTTGTTTCACTGAATCGGGCCCTTAGTGGGCTATATTTGACCAGGCCGATTTTTTGGGGTCAGCCAGTGAAACACGAATAGCGGCTATTTAGCGGGCTACGGCGCTATAGCGGCAATAGCGGCGCGATAGCGCGCAATAGCGGCAATAGCGCAACAAAGAGCAATATCATCGCGGCAAGCTATCTGGGGCGCTATAGCGCCGCTATAGCGGCAAAATAGCGCGCTATTTTTTTCGTGGATGTCTTCTAATCTTTGTCATTAGTAAATAATTTAAGAATTATTAGTATGTTACATTATTACTTAATAATTATGATGGTAGGATTAGTTTTGATAAGTGCTAATATGTTGATTAGTGCATGTTTCATGTGCTAATTAGGATATTAGTGGTGCTAATTAATATATTTTATTTTAAATTAGTGATTATCATGACAAAAAATAGTATTAGTGCAAATTTATTAGTGTCTAATTAGTTGTTATTATTTTTAAATGATAGATATAATTAGTCAATTATTTTCGTCCCATCCACTTTCGTCCATCCAACCAAACAGAAAAATGGTCCATCCCATCCATCCAACTAAATGTGCACCATGAATATACTTATCCCAATATCCATGGATCGTCGTATCCTATCCAACTTCGTCCTCGAACCAAATGCAAACGAGAACCGTAAATTTGCCAGGAACATATGTTCAGTCCTAAACAAATTAATTAATTTACTGGCATCTCTTCTTGGATTTGGAAAGAAACAATAGCTCACTTTTGCAGCCTATGGGTGGGATTGGGGACCGACCCTGACGAACAGGCGAACAGGCAACTAGCCAGAAGCAACCACTGTGCTGGGTATAAAGGTGAAAAGGATGGGCGGCCACCGTGAGTCCGAGATCCTAGTCTGACTCGACTGACTCCGTGAGTGGCGAGATGATGCATGTCGTCTGCCGTGGACCCGGCGTGTCTGCGTAGCCTCAGAATCCGGTCCATTACGCTTTGCTCTGCTTCCTGCTCTCGCGCGCACACTCGTAATCATGATGATTAAACGGGTAATGATGATGCTGAAGGGTTATGAGGTTCCTGCTACCCGAAAAACAAAAATTTCAACCCCATAAACGAGGAACTACCGTTAGTTATGGATCACGGGATTACCACCAAACGTGCAGGTGCAGCGGAAGCGACTTGGTGTAGTCGTGCACGTCGCAGCAGTGCCGTGCAGTTGTGTGGTCGTCCTTCCGCCCGTCCCTCTCGTGCGGTTCGTCCTTGTGCTCCAGATGCAGCACCTCCGAGGCATCCACACGCACAGGGAGAAAGCGTCGCGCCTCCGGACTGCTAGGTCCGTGAGGAACGAAGGCGCGGGCGTGGGGAAGGGCGGCGGCTGCCAAATGGCGTGGATTGACCTAGCCCTGCCGCCCTCCCCTTGCTTATATAGGCGTCCTAATGAGCTCCCGAGTTGGAGGCCCATTAGCAACCCTAAACCTTGTCTAATTCGGGTCCAGTCCGAATTAGGCTTCCAGCCCCTTAAGCGTGCGACCCTATGGGTTCACGCACACATAGACATGGCCCGAATACTCCTATTCGGCCAATAGTTTTGTCGGATACCATAGAATGGGGTACCCTAAGCAAGAACTGAAAAAATTGCTTAGACCTTGTAAAAACCAAAGCCAAGAGACAACCACGCGGGCCTCGGTCGATTCTCCGATTCGCCCGAGGCTCACGCCGCAAGGCCTCGGCAGATTCTCCGGTTCGCCCGAGGCCCACGCCGCAAGGCCTCGGACGAGCTACCAACTCTCCGCCTCGCCCGAGACCCCTCGCCCGAGGCCCCACCCGAAAGGCCTCGGGCGAGGTACCGATTCTCCGTCTCGCTCGAGGCCGGCTTGACATCAGTCCCGCCGCAGCTTTGACCGACCACCCTGACAGAGCGTCACACTCAACCAATGCGTCCGACCACTCCCGCAACGTCAGCCACACTCCGGCGCAGTACAGCGGAGTGGCCGACGGGACGGGAGTCACATCGGCGCCATGCAGTCCGGGACAGGACGGGGCAGGGGTTACCGGCCACTGTGCTCGGTACTGTGCCCCCTGCTGACGCCCGTACTGCACTATGCTACCTAACTCCTGCTCCGAGGACAGCGCGGCGTGGAGAGTCAGGTCCGGGTCCCTGTAGCCTCGAAATCAGTGTACAGGACCAACTGCTCCCTCCGAGCCTCGGCAATCAGCTTCAGGGTCTCGGTAGCCTCGGGATTCGCACCCGCCGAGCCTCCCACGATAGCTCGGCCTCGGCACCAACTAAGCCTCGACTCTTTACGCTGTCAACACTCTAGCCTACAACTAATCACAGCCTAACAGTAGTTCCGAAAGCTCTGCCCAGGACGACAAAAGGAAAGCAATAAATACACAACGACGACAGTGGTCGATCCATTTCATTTCGGCCTTGCTGACACGCTGGGCTTTATCCGCTGACAGCGATCGAGACTTGTCATGAATGAAGCTGACTCGTTGAGTTGTTGTTAAGAGAGCTGTTTGTTAATGAGTTAAGAAAGCGATTTGGTGCATGCGGCCAACTTGCAAGCTCCAAAGCCTACCAGCACCGGCTGCATGCCTGACTGAGCGGGGCTCGTGCACTGACTCGCTCAACCTCGGTCATACGCCCGACACGGAGCGGTGGGCGCCGTCGGTCGGCAGGGACAGAAAGCGACGCCGCGGGCATTATTGATCAAACTGCGGAAAACAGCAGCGAACTACTTACTCCCAGAAGCTTTAACCCTCTTGGGTTGATCGTTTATGTGGTTTAGGCTGCGTATAGTTTGCGAAATGAAAATTTTTGATGTCACATCAAATATTTTAGGGTTGTTGGAAGGGATTTTCGGATACTAATAAAAAAAATTAATTATATAGCTCGTTTGAAAACCGTGAGACGAATTTATTAAGTCTAATTAATTCATCATTAGCGCATGTTAGTACTGTAGCACGTATGGCTAATCATGGACTAATTAGTCTTAAAACATTCGTCTCGCGATTTCCAACCAAACTGTGCAATTAGTTTTTTTCATCTATATTAATACTCCATGCATGTGCCGCAAGATTCGATGTGATAGTTTGGGGTGAATTTTTTTTGGGAACTAAACCAGGCCTTGTAAGTCAGCTGATGCTGTTTTGTTGTGAGAGAAAAACACTATATCAAGACTGATAAGCATGACTGATACGATCAAGCGAACATGGTGAATGGCAGCCAAACTATGGTGCAACAGGCCAGACGGCGACGTGAGGGAGCAGAGCTAACCACATGCAGGGCGCGTGGCTGCGTGTGCATGTGCATGCATCGCCGTTGACTCGTGTTGCCCGGTTGCAGATAACATGGCAGATTCATAGACCGTTTGGTTGGTGCACTGCCCTCCTAGCTGGATAACCTCTGCAGGTCTGCTCCAGCCTCCAGGTATGCATGTATCTCACCATATCAGTCTCCAGGTATGCATCTTCTTCTTTTCAGAACTCCCTCCCACCTCGACGCAGGCAGCTGGCAGGGTGCTCAGCTCGGCGGATTGAGATGGATTTGGTGACGATCCTTATTATTCCTCGTCCATCGAATCGGATCGACGGGGATATACTGTCGCCTGTCGAAATACATGGCCGTTGCTGTCTTGCTGAATGTTGATGGTTGCTACTTCCATGCATAATGCTGCCTTTTGAGTTTTGATAAAGACGTCTACTCCGTATTGTCGTTGTGGCTGTTAGATGTATAGGAGGTGTATGTGTTTTCTCTCTACTTGGAGGGCTTCTTTGTATATGTACATTGTGTATACTTGCCCTCTTGGGCCTTGCAATACGGCCGGTTGGCCTCATTCTAGTCCTTCTAACATGGTATCAGAGCTAGGCTTTCCATCCTTACCTTCTGCTGCTGAGCGACACCGGCGATTTCTGCCCAACCTCGCCGGCCTCCGCATCCCACCCTCGTGCTGCTCCGCCCCGGCCCTCCGCCCGCACGCGTGGCTCCTGCGCCAGCTGCACCCGCCTCGCGCCCGTGCCGGCCCGCCGACCACTCGCGCGCCATCGCGCGTCGGCCCGCCGCCGCTCGCGCGGCCCTACGCGCCACCGCACCTTCCTCTGCGCCCGCTGCCCTCCCGAGTGGCCCTGCACGCCGGACGCCTCCCTCTCGCGCCCCCCTTGTGGCCTCGTGGCTCCCTTCGCCGCGGACACCGGCCCTGCTCCGCCCCACCACCTGTGGCTCCGTCCCCACGCCGCCGCGGACACCGACCCTGCTCCGCGCCTGTATAGCGAGCCGCTCACTCGCGCCCATGTGTCGATCTGGTGCCTAGTGAGCCGACCGGTCCTCCTCTCCTCTCTGCTTAAAAGAAGAAGAAGAAGAAGAAGAAGCAGCAGAGAGGCTCGTTCTCTCCTCCATGGCGTCCCCCGGACGCCCCGACACTGTCCTAGTCCCTCGGTGCCCCGTCATTTTCAATGGCACCAATTGGGGCGATTTTGTTTTCCATATGGAGGTCCACATGGATGGGCAGCTGCTGTGGGGCGACCTCACGGGTGAGCGGATCTGTCCTCCCCGTCCTCTTCTTCCCACACCGCCCACATACCCGACAGATGCTGATGATAATGCCAAGAATGATTTACTTGAGGCATTTGAGGCTGAGATGGAGAGCTACCAGTCTCATCTTGGTGTCTATGAGACTTGGCTGTGCAAGGAAAAATCTGCTAAGAACATCTCACTTGCGAGCATGGAGGTCGATCTCTAGTTATCCCTTAGAGGTCTTGCCACTTCACACCTTATGTGGGACCACCTCTGTCACAGTTACGAGATTCGTAATGAAGCGATGTACCTTGCTGTTGTTGAGGAGGCTCAGTCGCTTCGTCAGCTTGACTCCACAGTTGAGGGCTTCCACCGTCAGATGACAGCTGTCTGGCATCGCCTGGACAGTTTGGGCGCTGAGTTCTGCGGTGGTGGTACTTGTTGTAAGTGCAATCAAGCCCTATTGTGGGTTTTGGTATTGATGATCACCAAATTAGAGGACTAATAAGATTTATCGAGATGACAAGCTAGGAATCAAAGAATGAGGATGATGTACAGGTTGCAGGTGTCCTAATTACAAAAGGTGGATGGACCTAGCTCAAAGGAGGTTTAAATTCCTTTATGTTTTGAAATTGAGTTTAGGGAAAGCCGTACTATTAAGAGGGATTTTAGGACAGTTGGTTAACTGTTGAACCAGATGCTCAAATTCATAGATCTACATCCTCCCACCTAGTCAAAATAGCCAGCTAAATTTCATATCATATTACCTATTTTGGCTAGAGCGGCAGTGCCGCCCTTAACCGACCGTTGGGCTCGAGGGGTATTTATACCCTTTAGGCCGGCCCACAACGGTCATCTTCTTCACTGAGTCATTCTGCTCGAAACCAGATAGAACCAAAGCTCACCTCTCTCCTCCATTGTTACTCCTCCATCCCTCAAGCTAATCCTTGATTCCAACCATCAAAACTTGAGAGAAAAGGCATCAAAACTCGATTGGAGAGAAGATCCATTGATTCCCAAAGTCTAAGAGCATTTGGTTCACGTTTGGCCGGCGGTTCTAGGGTTTGTTACTCTTGGAGCTTGCTCCTAGCCGGCTAGGCGTCGCCCTTGTGCTTGCCAACTTGTGTGGTAGCCTTGGGAGGTTTGTAACCTCATTCAAAAGCTAAGAAATCATCCCTCACTTCAAGAGTTCACTCTCTTGATTTGAGAACGAGGGTAAGGCAAGCCTTAGTGGCAAGCTCAAGCCTTTTGTGGCTTTCTCAACAACGTGGACTTAGGCAAACCTTAGTGGTGAGCTGAACCACGGGATAAATCTTGTGTCTTGCGTGCTTCATCTTTACTATACTTGTTGTTTACTGTATTGCTAGCTGTTGCTAGGGTTTATTTGCTCGATTCACTGTTGTGTGAAGATTCTGTGGTATCCAGTCTTCGAACTGGATCTTGGCTTTATATTGTAGGATTAAGCAGCTAGTTGGGTCAGGTTCATATCTGTTAAATCTCAACTGTGTTAGATTATTTTTCGTAGAGCGGCAGTGCCGCCCTATAAGGCCAGCAGTGCCGCCCTCTGTTCTAACAGAGTTTTGAGTTGAATTTTTACAGGCCTATTCACCCCCCCTCTAGGCCTCCTTTATCTTCCTATAGATCCTACACTTGCCGGTGCTATGACCGTCACCGGGACCAGAGAGACATTCTTCGCCTTCACGAGTTTCTCTCTCGCCTTTGTCCCGAGTTCGAGACTGTTCAAGCACAGTTGTTGATTCATCATCCGCGCCCATCGCTCTCAGAGGCGATGCCTAAGTTATGAGCTGAGGAGACACATCTTTGAGCTGGGGGTCTGACTCGTGTTCCACCGCAGCCCTCCGTCCTAGCAGCCACACCTCCCTAGGTCTCTCCGCCTCTGTCTCAGCCCTCTCCTGTGGTGACGGGGGCACCTTCTGGTATTCAGTGTGGCTACTGCAAGATCTATGGTCATGAGGAGAAGGATTGTCGCAAGAAGAAGCACGACCGATCAGGGCATTGTGGCAGACACTCTTTTCAGGGCTCTGGTGGTTCCTCTACTTCACAGAGCACTCGTTCCGTGTCTGCAGCGGAGCAGGAGGTTCTTGCCCTGTTTCGTCGCCTCACTACTGTAGCTCAGGTCTCCGGTCACGGGACTACAGCTCAGGCTTCTAGTTCTGCTCCTCCTCCGTCAAGTATATCATCCCCATGGTTCCTCGACTCTGGTGCCTCTTTTCATATGACACCTCATGCAACACACTTGTCCTCTCTATCTTCCCCCGATCCACCTATTTCTGTTCGCACCACAGATGGCACTTCTCTTCCTGTTGTTGGGAGAGGTGTTCTTTTGACCTCTTCGTTTAATATTCCTACTATTTCGCATGTTCCTAAACTCACTATGCAACTCTTGTCTGCGGGTCAAATCCCTTATCATGGCTGTCGCATAATACTTGAGTCTGATTCTTGTTGTGTTCAGGATCTCCGTACGGGCCTTTTGGTGGGAACTGGGCCTAGGTGTCGGGACTCCCAACGCCTCTAGGAGCTTGATTGGTTGCGTCTTCCTTCACTCGTTTTGGCTCCCACATCACCCAGTTCTCCAGCATTCATGTCAGCTGCTTCGTCTACCACTTCTTTTGCGCGGTGGCATCGTCGTCTTGGCCACCTCTCTGGTTCTAGATTGTCTACCCTTGTTGGTGGTGGTGTGTTAGGTCCTGTTTCTGGTGACACTACTCTTCATTGTATGGGTTGTAAACTTGGCAAACAGTTGCAACTCCCCTACCCTTCTAGTGAGTCTAAGTCCCAGAAACCTTTTGATCTTGTTCACTCTGATGTATGGGGTCATGCACCTTTTGTTTCAAAGGGGGGTCAATCATATTATGTTATTTTCATTGATGACTATTCGAGATTTACCTGGATTTATTTGATGTCTTCTCGTGGTCAATTTTTTTCTATTTACCAGCAATTTGCCACCATTATCCGTACCCAGTTCAACTCTCTCATTCGAGTTTTTCGTGCGGATTCTGCTGGTGAGTACATCTCCACTGCTCATCGTTCCTACCTTGCTGAGCAGGGTACTCTTGCCCAATTTTCATGTCCTGGTGCTCATGCTCAAAATGGTGTTGCTGAGCGCAAGCATCGCCACACTCTTGAGATTGCTCGTGCTCTCTTGATCTCTTCTATGCTTGCTCCTCATTTTTGGGCTAAGGCGGTTTCTACAGCTGTTTTTCTTATAAATCGCCAACCCTCTACTTATCTTCGGGGTTGCACTCCCTATGAGCGTCTTTTCGGCACCCCTTCTTCCTATAGCCATCTTCATTGTTTTGGGTGTGTTTGTTACGTCCTACTTCCACCTCGTGAGCGCACCAAACTCACTGCTCAGTCTGTTGAGTGTGTTTTTCTTGGGTACAGTACGGAACATAAGGGTTATCGCTACTATGACCCTGTTGCTCGTCAAATGAGGATTTCTCGAGATGTCACCTTCGATGAGTCCTGGCCTTACTATCCTCATTCCCCTTCCGATTCTTCTAGTACCACTGAGTCCCTCTCATTCCTCACTTTACCTGAGTGGTATCTTCCGCTGTCGTCTCCATCCTCTTCACCCCCTCAAGTATCTTTTACTCTGCCTCCACCACCACCACCTACTCTCCACCTTCACCACCTCCTCCTACCTCTCCACCACCAGTCTCTCCTCCACCATCATCGTTGCGTCCTTCCCGTGAGATCACTCACTACTACACTCGTCGTCCGCACCCTGCGCCACCACTTGACTCTTCTCCATCCGTCTTTGGACCTCATCCCGAGTTTGCTCCTTGTTATTCTCTTCGTGATCGCAGCACCCTTCGTCCTCCCGATCGCCTTGGCTTAACTGTTGTCGTCTTGGCTGAGCCCACGACCTATCGGGAAGCTACCGTTCACCAGGAGTGGCAACATGCTATGGCTGAAGAGATTGCTGCCCTAGAACGTACTGGCACTTGGGATCTTGTTCCTTTGCCACCTCACGTCACTCCTATCACTTGCAAGTGGGTGTACAAGGTAAAGACCCGCTCGGATGGCTCTCTTGAGCACTACAAGGGTTGCCTTGTGGCGCGTGGCTTCCAACAGGAGCAAGGTCGTGACTATGAGGAGACCTTCGCTCCTATCGCGCACATGACTACTGTTTGCACTCTTCTTGCAGTTGCTTCTGTTCATCAGTGGTCGATATCCCAGTTGGATGTCAAGAATGCCTTCCTCAATGGCGAGCTACGAGAGGAAGTCTATATGCAACCACCTCTAGGATACTATGTTCCTGATGGCCTGGTTTGTCGGTTGCGCCATTCTCTCTACGGCCTCAAGCAAGCTCCTCGGGCCTGGTTTGAGCGTTTCTCCTCTATTGTCATCGATGTTGGTTTTACGCCAAGTGATCATGATCTTGCTCTTTTTGTTCACACTTCCCCTCGTGGTCGCACCCTTCTTCTTCTCTATGTCGATGACATGATCATCACGGGTGATGATTCCCAGTACATTGATTTTGTAAAGCAGCGTCTCAGTGAGACATTCCTTATGTCTGATTTGGGTCCCCTTTGTTACTTCCTTGGTCTTGAAGTCACCTCCACATCTGATGGTATTTTTCTCTCTCAGGAGAAGTACACTCAGGACATTCTTTCCCGTGCTGCTCTCACTTATCACCGCACTGTTGATACTCCTATGGAGCTTGGTGTTCACCTACGACCCACTGATGGTGTACCACTTGCTGATCCTACTCGTTATCGTCAGCTTGTTGGGAGTCTTGTCTACCTTGGGATCACTCGTCCTGACATTTCTCACTCTATGCATATCTTGAGTCAGTTTGTCTCAGATCCTACCTAGCTCCACTATGCTCACCTCCTTCGTGTTCTGCGATACCTTCGTGGAACTATCTCTCGGCGCCTTTTCTTCCCTCGTTCTAGTTCTCTTCAGCTTCAGGCGTATTCTGATGCGACCTGGGCGAGTGATCATTATGATCGCTACTCTCTCTCTGCCTATTGTGTTTTCCTTGGCTCCTCCTTGATTGCCTGGAAAACCAAGAAGCAGACTGCAGTTTCCCGCTCGAGTGCTGAGGCTTTGCTACGTGCTATGGCGACTGTGACTGCGGAGGTGACATGGCTATGATGGCTTCTTGAGGATTTTGGTGTGCCTGCCACTGCACCCACTCCTCTCTCTTCTGACAGCACCGGTGCGATCAATATTGCTCGAGACCCAGTCAAGAATGAG